GCTCGATCGGAAGTGTCGTCGACCAAGGGCGTTCCCTTGGTCCGCGAATCCGTTACCTTGGAGTGAGGGAAGGTTCCCCCGAAAAACCACGATAGTGGAGGAAACCCTCTCCTCCAAGGTGGGGTACCTGGGGTTCACCCGCGCGCCGGTGACCCCATCGGCCGTTTGTTACCCCTAGCGAAGGCCTGAGGCTTCCAACGTGTGCGGACCACGTGGAGCCCTCAGGCCTATTGTCAGCCAAGTCTTAAGAGCCGTCGCCTAATTTCGTTAAATTAGGGATTTCCAGGATTCTCGTGTTCCGCGACACGAGAAGTCAAAAGAAAAAAGGTACAGCAGTCAAACATGCTGAAGGCATGGAGCGGGAAATTCCGATGCCGAATTGTTCGATCCTAAGACCTGGCTGTTGGAAGACCGTAACGGGTCTTCCTTGTTCCACGACGGAACAGACAGTCAGAAATCAGAAGAGAATCCTAAATAGGTAACTATGACTACGTCATCTTTGATTCGTGACTTAGAAAGTTGTCATCCAAAGCCAATGCACCTAGTCTCTAACACCTGTAGGCCTATTGTCAGCCAAATTCTAAGTTCCTACGTCTAATTTCTCTAGATTTAGCATTGAACTCCTGAGTAGTGACCCGAGACAATAAAGCAATTTTCAAAATTATACAATAACTACATAAAAATACCAAATACCGAGCTATAATATCAAACTATTCAGCATCTAGGACCTGGCTGTTAGAAGATCATAACTGGTCTTCTAGACCTCCCATTTGTTCCACACTGGAACAACTTAAAAATACTAACTTCCAAATAATACATAACTAAATTCCAAACACCATTCGTTCACTATTCCCGCGAAAAATTGAATGGTAACGATAAACACGTCAATGAATGATCCACGTGCACACAGTCTTTAGGGAAAATGGAAAGAGAAACAGAGAATGATTCAGGGAAAAAGTGAATAAAAATGAGAAACGAAATTCAAATTACTACGGGCGAACCATGCAAGCAATTTTTTAATGAAATTATGTCTCTTTGACATTGCAGGCGTCATCATAGGTGGTGGCGGTGGCGGGAGAGAACGGTACAGCGGTGGTTCCGCTTCCGCTCTGAGCTGCGGTGGCGAGAAGCTCCGCGAGGACAAGCAGGGGAGGATGCTGGATGGGAAGACTGGGATCAGAAGGGAGAGAGAAGAGGACACGAAGAGCGCGGATAACGTTTCCCGGGGCGCTTTGCCGTCCAGGCAGAGTCTCTTGGAACTGGTCAGCAGCAAATGCATGAGCCGCCACACGCCCACTCATCATTACTATCATCAGCAGCAGCAGGTTAGTCCAGTGTCAGCTTCCGGCTTTACCTATCTCTGGCTCGTTTCGTTGGTTGCATCAATAGTAGGCTTGATACTAATTAGGTTATTACGTCTGGTGATGAGATTAACCTCGATACGTGTTCCCCGAGTTAGAATCAATCCAATAATCGTGCGGCTTTTCGTTGGGATCGAGTGAGGCTATTAAATGTTTCGTTCCGTGTAATAGGACTATGGAAGATACGTCTATGTCGGTAAGCTGGAGCCCAATTGAAAATGATCTGGTAATGGATGCTTCCAGAAATATAGTACTATGTTACTAAAAGAGGTTTAGAGGGAGTCTTTCAAGTTAGACCTCTTCTCTTATTGTTCATCAAGTGTTCCCATTATTATTATCCTGTTTTCTCTGATAACAGAGTTGGAAAATGACTCTAGGATGTCAATTTAGAAATATAAGTGCGAATAGAACGTGGAATACTATTTTCTTTTTTAACTATTCGTGGACTGTTTGATGAGAGTACTATAGTCCTGTCAAGAAACATTTCCTACAGACACTATAGACCTTGGAATTGATCTGTGTAGAGAGAGTCAAGCTATAGGAGTCAGGTCTATACCAGTAGGCTGGAGTCCAATTGAAAATGATCTGGTAATGGATGCTTCCAGAAATATAGTACTATGTTTCTAAAAGTGGTTTAGAGGGAGTCTTTCAAGTTAGACCTCTTCTCTTATTATTCATCAAGTGTTACCATTATTATTATTATCCTGTTTTCTCTGATGACAGAGTTGGAAAATGACTCTAGGATGTCAATTTAGAAATATAAATGCAAATGGAACGTGGAATACTATTTTCTTTTTTAACCATCCATGGACTGTTTGGTGAGAGTGCTATAGTCCTTAGTACGCAGACCTAACTCTTATAGCTTGACTCTTTCTACACAGATTAGTTCCAAGGTCTATGTTGGTAAGCTTGAGTCCAATTGAAAATGATCTGGTAATGAAAGCTTCCAGAAATATAGTACTGCTTCTAAATGAGGTTTAGACAGAATCTTTCAAGTTAGACCTCTTCTCTGACTGTTCATCAAGTGTTACCATTAGGATTATCCTGTTTTCTCTGATCACAGAGATGGCAAATAAGTCTGGAGAGACTAGTTAGAAATATAAATGCGAATGGAACGTGGAATCCTATTTTCTTTTTTAATTATACATGGACTATTTGGTGGGAGTACTATAGTCCTTAGTACATAGACCTAACTAGAGAGAGTCAAGCTATAGGAGTTAGGTCTATGCCAGTTTGCTGGAGTCCAATTAACAATGATCTGGTAATGGAAACTTCCAGAAATATAGTACTGTTTCTAAATGAGGTTTAGACAGAATCTTTCAAGTTAGACCTCTTCTCTGACTGTTCATCAAGTGTTACCATTAGGATTATCCTGTTTTCTCTGATCACAGAGATGGCAAATAAGTCTAGAGAGACTAGTTAGAAATATAAATGCGAATGGAACGTGGAATCCTATTTTCTTTTTTAACTATACATGGACTGTTTGATGGGAGTACTATACTCCTTTCAAGAAACATTTCCTATAGACACTATAGACCTTGGAATTGATCTATGCAGGGAGAGTCAAGCTATAGAAGTTAGGTCTATGTCAGTAGGCTGAAGCCCAATTGAAAATAATCTGGTAATGGAAGCTTCCAAAAATATAATACTGTTTCTAAATGAGTTTTATAGAGAGTCTTTCAAGTTAGACCTCTTCTCTTATTGTGTCTTTTTTTTCTTTTTCTCTCCTTTCTCTCAAGTGTTACCATCAGGATAATACTATTTTCTCTGATCACAGAGTTGGGAAATAAGTCTGAAGAGTCTAGTTAGGAATATAAATGCGAATGGAACGTGGAGTCCTATTTTCTTTTCTAACTATTCGTGGACTGTTTGGTGAGAGTACTACTAATTTGAGTACAGCGAGAGAAAGAAAGAGAGAGAAAGAAAGAACTGTGATCCTTGTTCTTTGAGATACTCTGCTTTCACTCGTAGCTCATTGTCAGTAATTTGTTAGTATTAATAGGTTTATTAACACTGGAACTGCTAGTCAAATCAAAATAACTAATTTAACACCATTTGCGTTTGCAATTGCTGAAAGCATCCATTTGTTTTTAACAAAATTAATATTAATTTTCACGTAAATAGAGATATATTTATCTCCGTCGTATCACTATGATAAGCATTTTGGAAATTCAAGGAAAATAATAATTTAAATATTTTATGGAACATATTATATTCTTCGAACATATATTATTAACATTTTAAATTCAAATACTCGTTGAACCGTTCAATGTTATAAACGTATGCTGTTCTACCGTATTTCAATATTATTTGCATAACTCTTAATTCTATATCCAAACATATTTCACCGTTTAATGTCTTCTGTATATTAACAGAACGAACCAAATTATTTATTTTTATTATCGTCGTATTACGAATAAAGAATATTCGTAAATTTTCATGAAAAATACGGCACGTTCTAGACCAAAATGATTTTTGACGCAAACACAATTGTATTGCTTTTTGCGATATTTCATTCGAGCATATTGGACGTGCATTCAAATTATATCCCGTATATCATAAAATCGCACGCGTCAAATATAATCTTATGAATATATCATAATTTAAGAAAATAAATAAATCAAAATTATACTATAGCAATACGATTGCACATACAAATATCTTAATAAAGCTTCTAAATTTATATTAACCCAATGTGAAATTTTTTAAAAAGCTTCAAAATTAACTAGAATTGATGTCCTTATCACTTTTAAGTATTATATTATAGCCTATTCTGAATTATATTAATACAGTATAATATATTATTATAGGATGGCGAATACTGGTCTTGAGACACCGAAAATTCACGAAAGAACAAGAACACGATAACACAAACTCAAAACTCGTAAACTGATTTAACTTAGGGAAA